GCATCAACGAAAATATATGCCCCAAATGGAAGTTCAAACATCTCTGAGGGGAGGGTGGAGTGTCGGGCGTGTGGACGTTTGTCTTCTGTCAGTGTGTGATTGAATACTGCTTGCCTGCTTTCTGCTCGATGGCTGCCCCCTAGAGCACGAGGTGCAGGCGTATCGGAACACCAGCTCCTTGACGGTCTTCTTCAGGAGCGCCGCCAGGGACAGGATGAATCCCAAATTCTGTGACACATACTAGGGATTGCAATGTACTTCTTGGCTTGATGGGGTACTAAAATGGGTATACAAAATGCGCTGGATTTTCTGGCCTGTGAGTGATGCTATAGCCCAAACGTAATGCTTGCATTACAGTTGCGAGGCATGCCGTGCGGTGGAGAAAGACCATGGTATCTTTCATGAGGCAGACGCGGAGTGGCTTTAAGGAGCTGACCGTTGGTTTCAAAAACCAATACGATCGCTCCTAGCCATGGAGGCTCAGTTTAAGCGGTTTAAAACTGCTGAATGGAGGTCTCCGAGGCGCAAAAAGGTCACTCCGCGGGATCTGCAAGTGCCAACCGTCACTCAGCCGTGCGCCGCCGAAAAAACTGACTCCGACCAATCCAAAGGCAACGACAGCTCCTGGCGATGCAGATTCGGTAGCCCGAATTCATCACCTCTGAAAATGTGCAGCCAAGTACGTCTGCAGCGTCAGTGTCCGTGGTGTCCGCAAGTTCGCTAGTTATCCCGTCCATTCCCGGTCCCACCAAGTAAATAGACGTTCCGGACCTCCGGATATTGCCACCACACAGGTACTAGACCTGTGGTGACTAAACCACTGGTGGGAGTCCCACCAAAACGACAAGTTTTTGTTTCACGGCTGGCCCCTGACCTCACATCTAATGATGTAATTGCTTTTATTCAAAGCAAAATAAAAGCCGTGGGTTTAAAGGTGGAGAAATTTACTTCTCTTATGCCAGGGAGATAGCCTCGTTTAAGATAAAGCATCTCCCCAACTCAATTTGACACCATTTGCTCCGCCAAATTTTGGCCGGAGCATTTGGTGGTGAAGGAGTTTAAGGTTAAGAAGAAGAATAGGCCCCCCATATCCCCTTCCAAATCTTTCCAATCTGCCACCCTCAACCTCAACTTCCTCTTCCCTCAACTTCCCGTCTGGCTTCCACCTTTCCAAAAAAACTAACTTCTCTTTTAGTAACATATCAGAATGTAAGAGGCTTGCGTAAGTAAGCTCAGCATTCTTCTCCGGGATAGTGTTGCAATTTTCTTCCCACGTTATGTGTTTACTGAAACCAGGTTAAAAGCCGGACATTCTTAGTTCCGAGGTTTTGGCAAGGTCGGATACACACAACTTTAGGAAAGGACCGTTCGTCTCGGACGTGTAGGAGGTGGTTCTAATTGCTGCCTACATGCTTCTCCTCCTCCGTTTATCATAGAATAAATTGCAGAACAAATATGCAGCGAAATAAAAATAATAATAATAAATGCAATCACGGGGATGAGGGATGAGCAAGTGGCCTCCCGTCCAAACGGAACGGACCGTAATATGCATAAACGATATATCTGATCGACTGGAAACTCTTGTGTTTGAATTTGACTTTGAATTTCGAATATTTCGGCATATATTTTCATTGCGGCCAAAAACGGAGAGACGATTCCGTGCATTGCGATTCTGGCATCAACGAAAATATATGCCCAAATGGAAGTGCAAACATCTCTGAGGGGAGGGGTGGAGTGTCGGGCGTGTGGACGTTTGTCTTCTGTCAGTGTGTGATTGAATACTGCTTGCTGCTTTCTGCTCGATGGCTGCCCCCTAGAGCACGAGGTGCAGGCGTATCTGGAACACCAGCTCCTTGACGGTCTTCTTCAGGAGCGCCGCCAGGGACAGGATGAATCCCAGGAGGCTGAGGAAGAACAGCCAGGGCGTGGTCATGAGCACGCCCCGGGCATTGGCCATGCGCCACAGCAACTGGCGCTGGATGGTGCGCAGCTTGAACTTGCTGTTCCACAATCGGAGGCGCGTCGAGCCGACGGTTTCGTTGATGCCCACGGTGTTCTCGACCAGCCAGAACACCGCACAGCACAGCATCTGTAGCACCAGCAGCACGACCTTGACCACAGCGGACTCCAAGACGAGGTGGTACAAGGCCACCATGCGCTGACGGTACTCCGGCTGCATTGTGGAGAGCACGACTGCGCCGAGGGACTCCAGCGGGGGAGACCCTGGGGGAAGGGCCGTCGGAGAGCTCCTCAAGGATCTCAGAACCTATAAGAGCCAGAGCAACCAAATTTGGTATCCACACTCCTGTGATATCGGACCTTGACCGTTTCGTGTCCAAATTTCGGCACACCCCTTCCGGCCCCCGCAAAGGACGAAAATCCACAAATCTCAGAGACTATTATCGCCAGAGTACCAAATTTGGTATCCCGCACTTCCGTTAGATCTCACTATAAAGCGTATATCTCAGAATTTCGCCCCCCCCCCTTCCGACCCCACAAAGGACGAAAATATGTTTCATTCACAATATTGCACATTCGAGAAAACTAAAAACGCAGAATCATAGATAATGACCACATCTATCAGATTGCTGAATCTGGATCAGATCGGATCATTTTTGTAGCCATAAGCAAGAAATCAATGTGCGGGTGGCTACGCAGCGCCCGACGTCACGCTCAGACTGATTTTCTGTCTCTCTCGCACGCACTCTTTGTCGTGTCGTTTAATATTAGCGGCCTCTGCCGGAGGAGAGCCATACTGACTAAGTATCGGGTATAAATGTAGAATTGCGGTGTCCGCAGCAACTCACAGCGTTCCCCCTCGTTTTAAATTTGGTTGTTGCGGGGAGGCGGAATCTCTTCACGAACTCTCGCCATTTTGCTGCTACTTGTCATGATAATTGGAAAAAACATTGAAACAAAGAAAGGATCTGCCACCACTAATGGTTATAATTGCACCCCGGCTATCATCTTTTCACGCAATGATCAGAATTATAGAACAAATTGTCTACATCCATGTTTAGCTAAACTTTTGTTTTCTCCGTTTTTTTCTTACTCACTCATATTAAAACCAAATTGAATCCATCAAAAGTCAATAAGTAAAACGATTACCTGGGAAAAGATTATAAATAAATGAGCTTGTGCTCCTTATCGGTGATGTTCGACTGAATTAAGCATTTTGGCTGATATACTTGACTCGAGAGCTGACACACTGATAATGTTATCGCCAGATTTCCCTCAAAACATTCCTTTAAAATCACAGTCTCATTCCTATAAAATCACCCAAAGGTGCAATGCCTTCAATCGAAAAAGTATTAGCATGGTGAACGTTTTAAGCAAGTCTACTTGTCTGCGGACTGGTACTAGTCAGAGCCGCACAACTGAAAGACGGAGATGTCATGCAAGATTACCAGCGTTTAAAAAGGCTCCGCCCGCTGGGAGTCGAGTTTGCCGAGCACTTCTGTAATGCATCGCTCCCGGACTTAGATCTATTCCACCCCCGAATACCCAGTCAGGAGGATCTGTTGTGTTTCGCGGACATGGCGCACTCACTGCATCTGGGTAACTTCGATGAGTGTGTCAAGATCAGCGAGGAGATCACCAGTAGTGACAGCATACATGGAAAGTACTATTTTCTAAATGTACCCGCCGTATCCATTTCGATCAAGATCGCATCTTGCTTTCCGGCTTCCTGCTCTGCGGCACATATGGATACGTTTCTGGGGCAGTTAATGCAGAATTTGTTGAACTCAAGCAGCACAAATATAAAATTCAGCGAGGCCAGCTGTCAGACAAGTGAATCGAAACCTTGGGATGGAATGACCATTTTCACAGTGTAAGTTAAGACCGTATCATAATCTAATTCTGTGACACATACTATGGATTGCAATGTACTTCTTGGCTTGATGGGTACTAAAATGGGTACAAAATGCGCTGGATTTTCTGGCCTCGTGAGTGATGCTATAGCCAAACGTAATGGCTTGCATTACAGTTGCGAGGCATGCCGTGCGGTGGAGAAAGACATGGTATCTTTCATGAGGCAGACGCGGAGTGGCTTTAAGGAGCTGACCGTTGGTTTCAAAAACCAATACGATCGGCTCCTAGCCATGGAGGCTCAGTTTAGCGGTTTAAAACTGCTGAATGAGTCTCCGAGGCGCAAAAAGGTCACTCCGCGGGATCTGCAAGTGCCAACCGTCACTCAGCCGTGCGCCGCCGAAAAACTGACTCCGACCAATCCAAAGGCAACGACAGCTCCTGGCGATGCAGATTCGGTAGCCGAATTCATCACCTCTGAAAATGTGCAGCCAAGTACGTCTGCAGCGTCAGTGTCCGTGGTGTCCGCAAGTTCGCTAGTTATCCCGTCCATCCCGGTCCCACCAGTAAATAGACGTTCCGGACCTCCGGATATTGCCACCACAGGTACTAGACCTGTGGTGACTAAACCACTGGTGGGAGTCCCACCAAAACGACAAGTTTTTGTTTCACGGCTGGCCCCTGACCTCACATCTAATGATGTAATTGCTTTTATTCAAAACAAAATAAAAGCCGTGGGTTTAAAGGTGGAGAAATTTAACTTCTCTTATGCCAGGGAGATAGCCTCGTTTAAGATAAGCATCTCCCCAACTCAATTTGACACCATTTGCTCCGCCAAATTTTGGCCGGAGCATTTGGTGGTGAAGGAGTTTAAGGTTAAGAAGAAGAATAGGCCCCCCATATCCCTTCCAAATCTTTCCAATCTGCCACCCTCAACCTCAACTTCCTCTTCCTCAACTTCCCGTCTGGCTTCCACCTTTCCAAAAAACTAACTTCTCTTTTAGTAACATATCAGAATGTAAGAGGCTTGCGTAGTAAGCTCAGCATTCTTCTCCGGGATAGTGTTGCATTTTCTTCCCACGTTATTGTGTTTACTGAAACCAGGTTAAAGCCGGACATTCTTAGTTCCGAGGTTTTGGCAGGTCGGTACACAACTTTTAGAAAGGACCGTTCGTCTCGACGTGTAGGAGGGGTTCTAATTGCAGTGGACTCTTACTTCACGTCAGAACACTTCACAGTCCAAGTTCAACAGGAACTGGAGTTCCTGTGTGTGTAAAACTGATTCTTCCCGCTTTCGCTATATTCATTACTTGCTCGTATATCCCACCTTCTTCGGATATTTCAATTTATGAGCAGCACTTGTCCGCTTTAACCGCTGTTTCTTCCTCGCTATCTGATAAAGATCGTATGATAGTTCTTGGTGACTTCAACTTGCCAGGAACTGTTTGGTCTTCGGTAAACGAGTCTAGTATCCTAGTGCCCATGTCACGACATGACTTTGTTGACGGCTTGCTTGACCTGTCCCTGTCTCAAGTCAATCATGTGAAAAATTCCTTGGGTCGATTGCTTGATCCGACCATAGTGTTGTTAACCCGAGCCCTTCCGCTCACTATACCTGAAGACGCCTACCACCCTACTTTCGAGGTGTCGCTAGATATAGGACCAACTGTATTGGATCGGTCGAGTAGACTACCTGAACGTGTCCGCTGCTTTCGTAAAGCCGAGTTTGCGAAGCTTAATAACCTAATTAGGGATTTTGAATGGTTCGCTTTGTACTTGTGCACTGATGTCATAAAAGGCACAAACATTTTTTACAATGCTCTTGGCACATTTTTTTATTCTTGTGTCCCGCTTTCTTGTCCGATTAGATCTGGAAAACACCCTTGGTTTACCAAAGAGTTATCCAGTCTACAAAACTTAAAATCAAGACTTTATACAAAATTTCAAGAAGTGGGCTCTCCTACTTCTCACTCTCGTTATGTAATAGCTCGGTCAAACTTTTCAGTTCTTAATGCTCAATGCTATAAGAACTACACATCAGTTTAACAGTTTTACTACAGTAAGCGTAGAACGTCCGCACACCCATCCTCGCTATCATTTTGTAATACGTCGGCAAATAATGATCAGGCAATTGCCGATCTTTTTGCCCAGTTTTTCCAAACCACCTATTCTGAGGAACGCTACTCTGGTCAACCGTACCCATACGGATTACCGAGATCGAACGGCATTTTCAGTCCCTTGATAAATGAATATTCCCTACTTCATGATCTTCGTCCAGACGGGGTTCCAGGTTGTGTACTCAGGTACTGTGCCGAGGCTCTGTGTGGACCATTGCTTAAACTATTCACCGTGTCCATTGATTCATCTTGCTTCCCCCCAATCTGGAAGGAATCGTTTATAATTCCTCTACATAAAAAAGGTAGCAAGTCTGATGCAAAAAATTATAGAGGTATAGCAAAGTTATCCGCTATTCCCAAATTGTTTGAGAAGGCTTTAACTCCGCACTTGCAACATCTCTGCAAGTCACTTATATCTCCAACTCAGCATGGATTTATAAGGCGGCGAGCAACCACCACCAACTTGTTAGAGTTTACCTCTTTCATTATTAAAGGCTTTCAAGGTAACTTACAGACGGATGTTATTTACACCGACTTTAGTAAAGCATTCGACTCTGTAAACCATTCCCTTTTAGCACATAAACTTGACCTTTTAGGGTTTCCGCCCAACCTCCTGAGATGGATTTCTAGCTATCTTTGTTCTAGGTCTCAAAGAGTCCTCTTCAAAAACTCCGGGAGTACCACAGGGCAGCCATCTAGGCCCCTTACTCTTCACACTCTTTATTAATGACTTGCCTTCAGTATTAACATACTCTCGAGTACTTATGTATGCGGATGATGTTAAACTCTGTGTCCAGTACAAGGACATTTCATTTCATTCTCGCTTGCAATCCGATCTCAATAGCTTTCAGTCATGGTGTTGTGCAAACTTGTTACACCTTAATGCCTCGAAATGCAAAGTTATGACATTTCATCATCATCTAGCCCTTTGTTGGCTCCCTACACCCTATTTGGTGGTTCTCTTGAGAGAATTACCCTGGTGGATGATCTGGGTGTTATGTTAGACCCCAAGTTAAAGTTTTCCGAACACATTTCTACCATGGTAAATAAGGACATGGGCGTGCTTGGGTTTATAAAGAGGTGGTCAAAGGCATTTGACGACCCCTATATAACAAAGACTCTCTATACCTTGCTTGTTCGTCCGATCTTAGAATACGGCTCCTGTGTATGGTGCCCTCAGTACAAAGTACACCAGGACCGTATAGAATCAGTACAGAAAAACTTTTTACTCTTTGCTCTGCGGGGCCTTAAC